TCTCTTTCTGCCCATCCCCTTCTCTCTCTCTTAAAAAAAATGGACAGTGGAACTAAATAGACATTTTCCCAAAGAAGACACACAAATGGCCAACAGGCACATGGAAAGATGCTCAACATCATTCATCATCAGGGACGTGCAATTGGAAACAATAATGAGATACCATCTCACACCTGTTAGAATGGCTATTCTCAAAACCACGAGACAGAATTGTTGGTGAGCCTGTGGAGAAAACGGAATCCTTGTGCACTGCTGGTGGGAAGGTAAATTGGTGCAGTCACAATGGGAAAACAGTAGGAAATTTCCTCAAAAATTAAAAATAGAGAGGCACCTGGGTGGCTCAGTCAGTTAAGGGCCTGACTTCAGTTCAGGTCATGATATCCCAGTTCATGAGTTCAGGCCCTGCATCAGGCTTGCTGCTGTCAGTACAGAGCCTGCTTTGGATTCTGTCTCTCTCTCTCTGCCCCTCCCCCGCTCTGTGCTCCCCCATCTCTCTCTCAAAAATAAATAAACGTTAAAAAATTTTTAAACAGAAAAAAAAATTTTTTTTAAACAGAACTACCATATGGTCCAGCAATCCCACTTCTGAGTACATATTGAAAGGAAATGAAAACAGGGTTTTGAAGAGATAGCTGCACTTTCATATTTACTGCAGAATTATTCACAACAGCCAAGATATAGAAACAACCTAAGTGTCCAGTAGGAATAAAGAAAATGTGGTACATAAGCATAACGGAATTTAATTCAGGCATAAGAGAGAAACCCTGTCATTTACAACAACATGGATGAACCTTGAGGACATTATGCCCACTGAAGTAAGTCAGACAGAAAGATAAATACAGTATGGTCAGGACACCTGACTGGCTCAGTTAGTAGAGCATGCTACTCTTGATTTCAGGGTTGTAGGTTTGAGCCCCATGTTGGTTGTAGAAATTACTTAAAAAATAAAATCTTGGGGCGCTTGGGTGGCCCAGTCAGTTAAGTACCCGACTTCGGCTCAGGTCATGATCTCATGGTTCGTGGGTTCGAGCCCTGCATCGGGCTCTGTGCTTACAGCCAGCTCAGAGCCTGGAGCCTGCTTCAGATTCTGTGTCTCCCTCTCTCTCTGACCCTCCTCTGCTCATGCTGTCTTTCTCTGTCTCAGAAATAAATAAAAACATTAAAAGATTAAAAAAAATAAAATCTTTTAAAAAATACTGTATGATCTCTATTATACTTGGAATCTTAAAGAGCTGAACTCACAGAGAGTAGGATCGTGCTTACCTGGTGCTAGTTGCTGAAGGAAATGGGGAAATGTTGGTCAAAGGGTACAAGCTTCTAGTTATAAGAGGGATAAATTCTGGGGATCTGGTACAGCATGGGGATTACAATGACCAGTATTGTATTTATACTTACATACTTCAAAGTTGCTAAGCGAGTATACCTCAAATGTTCTTACCACAGAAGAAAAGAAATAGTAATCATACAACATGAGAGAGGTGTTAGCTAATGCTATGGTAGCAATCATTTTGCAATACATACATAAGTGTATCCAACTGTAAACTTACACAGTGTTATATGTCACTTATATCCTCATAAAGCTGAAAAATGAGTAAGAGAAAATATAGAAGATATTTTAAAAATAATCTGAGGGGCACGTGGGTGGCTCAGTGGGTTGAGCAACCAACTCATGATGTCGGCTCAGGTCACGATCTCTCAATCCTTGAAACTGAGCCCCGTGTTGGGCTCTGTGCTGACAGTGAGGAGCCTGCTTGACATTCTCCCCTCTCCCCCCGTTCCTCCCCTGCTTGCTCTCTGTCTCAAAATAAATAAATAAAGATTAAAAAAATAAAAAGTATATAATCTGAGTGGAAGAGGCTTTCTAGGCATGACAAAAGTCAGAGACAAAAGAGAAAATACTGGAGAGGGGCACCTGGCTGGCTCAGTCAGAAGAACATAAGATTCTTGTTCTCTGGGTTGTGGGCCGGAGCCCCACGTTGGGTGTGGAGATTACTTAAGTAAATAAATAAACTTAATAAACAGAAAACAGTGGACAGCCTCTCTTACAACAACAACAACAAAACCCTTAAGACAAAACAAAACCCAAGAAGGCATAAACTAAGTAAAAAGATCAATGATGATGGCAGAAAATATTTGGACCATATATGAAATGACCGAATGTTAATTGCACTGATGCATAGAAAGCACCTACAAATCAGTTGTAAAGAAACCAACAACAATCCAAAAAAAAACTGAGCAAGGTACCTGAACGGTGAGCTTGTAGCAGAGGAAGAACACAGGACTTCATATAGGCAAAGAGGTTCCCGCTCACTCCTAAAAAGGGAAATGCAAATTAATGTGATCGTGAATTGCTATTTTTCACTTATGTGATTTTTAAAAATTTTTTTATGTTTATTTATTTTTGAGAGAGAGAGAGACAGAGTAGGGGGAGGGGCAGAAAGAGAGGGAGACACAGAATCAGAACCAGGCTCTAGGCTCCAAGCTGTCAGCACAGAGCCCAATGTGGGGTTTGAACCCACGAACCCCAAGATCATGACCTGAGCTGAAGTCGGACGCCTAACTGGCTGAGACACCCAGGTGCCCCTCACCTATATGATTAATAAAGCTTTAAAAAATCTGATAAATTGTATGGCTGACGGTATGTGGAATTCATATATGACAGTGTGGGGCGGTTGTAAATAAATTAAACCTCTACAGAGGGTAATACAGCAATATCTAGAGTAAACCCTTGAACAACACAGGGGTTGGGAGCACTAATTCCCCCCACAGTCAAAAATCCACATGTACCTTTTGACTTCCCTAGCACTTAATAGCCCACTGTTGACCAGAAGACTTAGTGATGACATAGTCAATTAACACATATTTTATGTTATATGTATTATGTACTGCATTCATACAATAAAACAGGGTACAGAAAGTGTTAAGAAAATCATAAGGAAAAGGAAATATATTTATAGTACTGTAAAAAATCTGCATGTTAGTACCTGCATGGTTCAAACCTGTATTGTTCAAGAGCCAATGTGTATATTTAAATTGTTAATATCTTTTGATTTGGCAGCTCCATTTCTTTTTTTAAGTCTTTTTTTTTATGTTTTATTTATTTTTGAGAGAGAGAGAGAGAAAGAGACAGCATGAGCAGGGGATGGACAGAGAGAGAGGGAGACACAGAATCTGAAGACAGGCTCCAGGCTCTGAGCTGGCTGTCAGCACAGAGCCCAATGCAGGGCTTGAACTCACCAACCGTGAGATCATAACCTGAGTTGAAGTCGGACACTTAACTGACTGAGCCACCCAGATGCCTCTAGCAGCTCCATTTCTATGAATTTCCCAAGTAAGTCAAAGATATACATTTTGGCATTGTTTATAATGGCAAAAGATTGGAAACAACCTAAAAGTCCATCCTTGGGGGATTAAATAAAAATGGTACATGAATCCAATGGAATTCTGTGTAACCGTTAAAGAGAACGGAGGCACCTTCCTTGTGTGCGGGTGCAGAACTATCTCCCACACCTATTAGGAGAAAAAAACAAGATGTCTTGAAGAAGGGGAAGTGGGGGCTGAGTGCTGCATTCACAAAAGAGGGCAGTCGGTTCACTTTTTAGTTTATCTCTGCAGCTTACTCCAAACTTAATGTCCCCTCTTCCTGGGCACACAGCTCATTTCCCAGACTCCTTTATTTGGAGGAATGACCAAGTGACTGGATACTAGCCGATGAAACAGTCTCAGTCATAACAACTTCCCATGTGCCATCTTTAATGCTTTCTTCTCCTGTGGGTTTCTGAAATGACAGTGAGCTCCAGGGTGACTTTGGGAATCACGTATGCACATCAGGATCATACAAAGAACAGAGCCTGGGTCCCTGAGCTTCTGTCTGGAGGGGAACATCTGTGTGAAACTCAATGTGAACAGGGACCTTATTGTGCTTTCTTACTGGAACTCCACGGCATACCTGTTATAGGAGCTCTGTTAATTATTTCTTTATCCTTTTGATATCATGTTAGCTCTTCAAAGCAAAGCCAAGGAAAACACACACACACACACACACACACACACATACTGAGTCTCCTTCAGACCTTAGATCAACACCTCTCCCTGGTATGTAATCCCTGGGCACTGGTCAACCTCTTTAGCAACGCAGACACCTGCTGCCTACATGTGCCCCTTTACTCTGCTTCTCTGCTGTCAAAACACACTTCTCTTGGCACAGCCCAGCTCTTCCTGCCAGGTTTCTTCACCTCCTCCTCCTGCTTTTGCTGATATTATCTGGAATGACATGCACACATCAGACCCTGCATCCATCGCCCTTTCCTAGCAAACCTCCTCTGATTCCTGTCTCCCCACTGTCCAGCTCCAGGATATCCCTGGAATTAAACAGTTTGCAAGATCCTTGCCTCCAACCCTGCTCTCTTGTCCGTTCTCCATAGAATGAGAAACCAGTTGAGTTTAAGATGCAAATTAAGCAAGTCACCCTTCGGTGAACTCTTCACCACTGCCTGTAAGACCTTCTGAAAACAGTTCGGGTCTCACATGTCACTTCCTGACCACAGGACTTAAAGCAGTGCTCTCTGCTCCTACTCTGTCTTCGCTCTATTCGTTTCCTTCACATTCCTCACCCCTTTCTGAAATTACTTCCTGCTTGGTTTAAGGTCTGTCTCTCCCTACAGAGTGTAGCCCCCAGAAGTCAGGGCCAGGCTCGCTCCGGATCAGGCCTGTCCACATTAGGGTTCAGGCACACATAGGGATTCAATGGGCGCTGAATTCGCAAGGTCGGGTTAGTACATACACCCGGCGCCGGCGCGGGGAGTGCACAAAGGGGGCGCGGCGGGGGATCAGTCCACGGCCTTGGGTGGGATGGGGAAGGCGTAGGCAGTAGGCCCTGGGGCAGCTCCGCGGGGGACCCGCGGGAAGTGGCAGACACGCCCCCCCCGGCCCCGCCTCGCGCCTGCCCATTGGCGGCCGCGCCGGGGGCGGGGAGAGGTCGCGGTTGCCGCCGACCCCCCCACTCCCTCCACCGGCCGGCCACCCGGCTCACGTTGTCCCAGCATCGGTCCCCGCGCGCCCGCTCCCACCGCAGCATGTTGCGCGCCGCCGCCGCCCGTCTCGGGCCCCGCCTGGGCCGCCGCCTCCTGTCGGCCGCCGCCACCCAGGCGGTACCGGCCCCCAACCAGCAGCCTGAAGTCCTCTACAACCAGGTGAGGCCGCCGGGCCGGGGCTTTGTTCTCTCGGAGAGACGGAGCTCACCGGGTGGGAAGGCCCTGAACCTCTTCGGGCTCCAATTTACCCAGGCGGGGCTCGAGCCGTTTGCTGCGCTTGATCTTTACGCACAGCTTCCCTTCCTGCCAGCGTTTTGGCTCCTTCACCGCCTCTGACAGCCCACCCTCCCTCCGCGTTTCTTTATCCAGTTGTGACTTTGGCTACTTACTTGTTTTCGTCCGGTCGCCGTCCGCTCTCCTGCGCCAACTCTCGGGGTTCCATCCCCCCCCCCCAACTCCCAGCCTCTTAGTCGCCGCAGTGTCTGCACAGGGCCTTCACCACCACCCACCCTGACGATGTGTCCACCAGAGTCCCTCTTGGCAGGAGCTTTTCTGTCTTTTCCGTGGTCATTTCTGAATCCTTAATTCGTCCCCGCGTCCAAGGAAGTCCAAACGGAAAAACTAGAAAAGGAAAGGTCCTTTTCAGCCAAAGTTCACCCATTCGCTAAGGAAAAGGCGAGGCTGCAGGCAGGGAGAACCCAGGTCCACTGCTGGGAATTCGGAAAGGGTGCCAGACCTCCGTTTGTGGGGTGCAAACCCCCCAATGGTGTCTGGGCCTCCCAAGGAGCTGGTTGTCTTCCAGCAAACCAAGGAGAGGCTTTTCCAGGGTAACACAGATTCCCAGAGGCCAATTCCTTGCACCAGCAGGACTTTGGAATCTTTTCTCTTTTGATCTTTGACTTTGGGTAACGTGCTGGAATTCACAGAGAAGGAAATCATTATGAAAAGAGTGTTTTGTAGGTGCAAGAAACTGTGGCTTCAGTTTCTTCCGTAAAGTGGGAAGTGGGTCAGAGGGTGAGCCCGGGGCCTCACGCACTTAGCAAGCACTTACAGCAGTGACAGCGCCGATTCTCTGTGCACAGCCTTTGCACCTGCCACTGTTCGTGTCCTTTAATCCTTATAATGGCCCAGTTAGGTTGGCATAGGGTTCTGTAGAGCCAGTCCCTGGCCAACAACTTTCAACTGTGGACCTGCTTGTCTGGTCCGGAGCGGTGCTGCAGATCTGCACACAGGGGATGGCTAAAGGCACATCTGTGTGATAGGAAGGAGTGTTACAAATGGTCATTCACGAGGCAATAAAAACAGATAAAATTCCTTTTGCATCACACAAGTCCCAAATGCAGCAGCTCTTCTTCTTTTGGTAGGCTGCTTAATGAGGAGCACATGCTTGTAAGACTTGAACATCAAAAAGATCAGGCAGAAATTTCCCTAAGGGAAAGGTATCAGCATCCTAAGCCTTTGTGGCACAAGATCTAATTAAGGTCTTCCTCTTCTGTGGTCACATGGAGGTGAGGGAATGACATTCAAATGAACATGCACGTGGGACTTGTAGATAGCACGGGTCTCGCTCTCTAGATTTAGTCTGGGGATGTAAGTTGGGGAAAAAGTGAAATCTCCCCACAGGTGCTTTTCTTTATCACATTTTTTAAGATCATAAAAAGCATACTTGCTTGCTGTAAAAATGCAGAGTACTGTAAAACTTCCCCAAAACCCCCTCCCACTCTCCCCAAGAGCACCGTTAACACAGTCTGTGATCTTGCATTTTCTCTGTGTGTGTCCGTGCACCCGCATGAGCGAGCATGCACCAGATTTTTTTTTTACATAAATGAGATGCTAGCACTTACCATACTGAAGCACTGTCTCATTGAACAGTGTACCTGACCCTTCTTTTTCAAGCAGTACGTTTGTATCTTGTTTATTCTTCCCAAATGTTGCAAAGCACCCCACCATGCTGGAACTGGCTCAGAGTTCCTTGGGCTGTTTTCAGTATTAAGTTGTTGCTCAACTGCTGGCGGCATGCCCAAGCCTTATCTGAACTGTGTGTCTCTAGGAGTCAGGGGCTCTAGGTACAAACTAGATCACACTCCTGGACATTTCCCAGGGTGTTGCTGGATCCTTGAAGTTCATTCAGCTATTCTAGAGTTGAGTTTCCCCAAAAAGGAGTTCTTCTGATAGACGGTGTTCTTGCCAAGGGCATCTGGGGTGGGGGAGATGTTTGGGCTTTTGGGGGAGTGTTGTACTTCGGGCTTGTAGGGTCTCATCTGGATGGGTGAGAGGGGCCCAGGCAACAGGTCTCCTTGCCACCTCTTCTCAATCCGAAAGAGGATGAGGGGTGTGGTTTGGTCCATTTTCCTCTTGCCTCTCTCTACCTGTCTTGGGCGAGGCTGCAGGGTGGGTAGATTTACTGGTGAGGTTAGGACGATTTTAGGACATGTTCTCCTTCCCCAGCTCACGAGCAGGGACCTGCAGAGGAAGCTGATGATGGCCAGGCTTCTTGAAGACCAACGTTTCTTATCCTTGGCAGTTTCAGGGACACACCTCTGTCCACAAACTGATTTTCATTTTTCATTCTTCTTTTCTTTCCTGACTTGGAGACTAACTAAGATCTGGGAAGACAACTTAAAGGAAAACCCAAGGGACTGTGGCTTTAGCAAAGTAACCTCTCTGGATGGAGTGTGACTAATACTTTTATCTTCAACATCACCAGTTCACGTTGGTTGATAATAAAATACCCCGAGTTAAGCCATGTGGATTTTCTTTCTTTCTTTTTTTTTTTTTTTAAATGTTTTATTTATTTCTAGGAGAGATAGAGACAGACAGTGTGAGCAGGGGAGGGTCAGAGAGAGAGGGAGTCACAGACTGAAACAGGCTCCAGGCTCTGAGCTGGCAGTCAGCACAGAGCCCGACGCGGGGCTCGAACCCACGAACCGCGAGATCATGACCTAAGCGAAAGTCGGACGCTTAACCGACTAAGCCACCCAGGCGCCCCAAGCCATGTGGATTTTCAAAGCTCCCGAGGTCAAGCTGCACTGCTTTTCACGGTCGACATTATGGGGACTTGTCTTCCCAGTGTTAGTCGTCAGTGCCTGGCCTGCCTGGCGTAGGGCCTAATCTCTCGGTTTTGCTTCTCTGCGCTTGTGGTGTCCTTCCTGTTTGTGGGAGTCTCGCCAGGGGTTTGGTGCCCAACTGTGTCCCTGCCCTTCCTGCCTTTTCAGTGTGGCCTCCTCTTTATGATGAACTGTGGAAAGTCAGTTTTACCAGTCCGGAGGTCGTTTTCCGAGTTAGGTGCACAGATATAGCTGTTATTCTGGTATGTCTATGGGACAAGGTGAGCCCAGGATGCTCCTAGGCTGCTGTCTTCCTGACTCTCTATGTTGGTTGATAATAATAATGAAGATGAAAATATTGTTAGATACCATGATGTGCTCTGGACTCAGACTACCTGTCACTGGTTAGTGCTGATTTGGGCAGGTTCATTCATTCAACAGACATTTCCCGAGTACTCCCAGTTCCAATAAACAAAACAGACAGGAATCCCTGTCTGTAGGAAGCTTGTGGCCTGGATGGTGGAGACAGACAAATAAGTGCAACACATAATATGGCCAAGGCAGTCAGTGCTGTAGAGAAAAATAAGGCAGGGAAGAGGGCGATATGGAGCATGGTACAATTATTTAACTCTGTACCTCAGCTATCACATCTGTACAATGGGGTAGACATCCCATATACATCATTGGGTTGCTGTGAGGATGAAGTGGGGTCATCCTGATACATCCCTTAGCAAATGCCCCACTCGGGGCTCCCTGTGGCTCCATATTTATTTAGCCGTAAGTAAAAGCTGGGAGAACAGTGATGCTGTTGAGCTTACAAGATAATGTGAGGTAACTGCTTTATGTGGGTGCTGTTGCAGTTGTAACTTATTTCCTGAAGGGTTGAGTTAGGTTATGGTCAAGCTGAAATGGAGGTTTGGGGTGAATTAAGTTTGTGTCTTCTATTCTTAGCTTCTTGACCACAGCACTCAGGAACTAAAGGGAGAACTGACAAAAAGGAAATTAAGACAGGATCTCCCTGTATAAAATTTTCTGATTATAATATTAATACATCCTCAGTACAAAAAGTCAAGCATTCCAGAGGTCTGTGAGGTAGAAACTCACTGGAAAATATATAGGCATGCACAGATGTTCACTGTCACATAGTTTATATTAGCAAAAAACTTAAGAAGCCAGCTTGCCATCCATAGGGAAACAGATGAACAACATATGTTATAGTTACGAGGAGGAATAATTCAGTGTGTGTGGTAGTTATAGGAACTAGCTGGAGCTGTATGAATAATGGGCCTCAAAAACAATGAATGTTTCAGCGGGGGGGAAGGTCTAGGGTTCTGCAGATATGAAACTAATTAAAACTCCCCCAAACTTTACATTGAATGTGAATAGACCTATCTCCATATAAAGTGTATAAAAATGTATAGGAAGGAAAATGCTCATTGGTGTGAGGGTGGAGAGTGCCAGGGGGCGTGGAGGGGGGTGGTCGGGAGGGCTGCATAGGGAATCTGCTTGCAGGTAGTGATCGTAGGGAACTTTGGCTTTATTTAAGTGTTTTGTTTCTTTAAAGTAAGTAGCCTGTAAGCAAATATAAAAAAAAGAAAGTGACAGGCCTCGGATTATCCCATATCAGCAGATAATCACTGCCAACAGGTAATATATGTAGAATAGGAATTTGATTTTCCTTGTTTTCCTTGGGAGAGTCTTATATAATGAGCTAAAACCTGTGTTGGGCTAAGCAGTGGTTTCAAGTGGCTTTTATGCTGAATGAATCAAGTGAAACATCTCCACACTGATCATACTGGTTTTATGGCTTGTGTAGGAGTTTTAAGATCTTTTGTATAAATAATAGATTCAGGCAACCCAGAGAGTCAGAGGATTTTACCAGACCTACGTAGGTTCTTCTGCTTCTAACAATAGTTCTATTTTAAATGAACACAAATGCTTTTGATTACCGCCTGCCTCCCCAGAATCTGTGGAAACACACTGAGTTACAGAACGCTTGTGTGTGGTATTGAGTTCAAATTAAAAGGACAGGTATATGTGCTGCAGACATGCGGACAAGTCCCAATTGAATAATCATGATCACAGATCACTTAGGATCTGTCAGGTCCTGTG